AAATGCAATGCAGTACAGGACATTGATTCACAATGGCAACAGAAGCCGATGAAGCATACAAAGGATGCTAAAATTAAAATGGGGATGCTAAATGAAAATACATAATGCATACTGCTATCACACTCCAGTTAAAATTCAGTTAACTGGATAAAAATAAAAGAGGCGGTCCCAAACTTCTCTTGTGTGGGAGAGAGAAGAATATTACGAATTCCTAACCCCGAGGAAATAATAAAGTGTGATATCAAACACTTGTAATAACGTTTTAAAAAAAATAGGGTTTTTAATACAAACCGGAACTTAAAAGAAGGTGCAGTTTAAAGGTCTTATTGTCCTGGAGTCGAGGCAATGAAGCCTGAGTCCATGGTTGCTTAGTTGTTGTTTTTCATCAGTAGGAGTGAATTTTGTAGAATCCTGGAGTTCTGGGTGAATGTTTGTTTTCCCAAATTGCTTTCTCACTGGGTACTTCTTTTGATCATTGATAAGGTACAGAGGGAGAGGGGGAGAGACAGAGAGACAAAGGGTGAGAATCCATTTCCCCTTCTCTCTCTGGATGCTAAGCAAGCTACTTAAATATGGTTTTCTCCATATGCCAAAGTCCAGATTCTTTGTCTTTTCTAAACCTGATTACCCTGCAAGTAACCTTTCATTTCCCAATATGCAAACTTATTACACAAGTGTGGACTAAACAAAAGACTCAAATTTCTTGATGCTGAATTAAGACCATAAGACCAAAACAGATAGGAGCAAAAGTAGACCATTCAGCCCATCACGTCTGCTCCACCATTCAATGAGATCATGGTTCATATGATAAATTATTTCTGAAGAAGGGTCACTGGACTTGAAGCATTAACTCTGCTTTTTCTCCAATGATGCAGCCAGACATGCTGAATTTCTCCAGCAGTTTCTCCAGCAAACTCCAGCATTTGCAGTTCTTCCTTATATTCTGATTGAATTACTTGTCCAGTTTCAATATTTTTGGATGAAACTGTAATTTTAGTGGCCAATTTCGTGTATTCCATATGGAATTTCCCTAGATGTGCCTCAATCTGTGGTCAGGTAATCACAACAACCACTTTAGGTCACTATTTGTCGTCTTTAAGAATGACTTCAGCCAACGATGGTCTCAGGTATTAAAATCGGATGATAAATGTTGATAGTTCATGCTTACTATAATCATAATATTAGCAAGCCACTCAGTTGTATCTAACTGCTACAATGTCTGATAAAAGAAATAAAACAGAATGGACCACTCAGCATCAACCAAAGCACTAGAAATGACAAAGGTGCATGCTGCAGCCCTGTTGACTTTGCAGAGTCCTCCTTAGTGACAGCCAAAGGCTAGTACCAAAACTGGGACAGCTGTCTTACGGACAAATCAAGTAACAGCCTGATATAGTCATACAAATGGAATCATACCTGAGACATTACCTCACTATTCTTCAGTATGTCCTATTTTACCGACAGGACAGACCCACCAGAAGTGCTGGACAGTGGTATACAGCTGGCAGGGAGTTGTCTCAAGTGTCCTTATATTGAGCCTGGACCCCACAAAGTCTCATGGCACCAAGTTAAACATAGGCAAGGAAAACTCCTGCTGTTCACTGCCTAACTCTACTACCATCCATCCCACAATGCCCCAAACAGCAAGTGACATACAGAGCCAGGCAAACCTACAACCAATAGATCAGATCCAAGCTCTGAGGTCCTGCCACATCCTGTTGAGAATTAAATGTGACAATTAAACAAATCACTGGAGGTGTGGGCCACACAATAGCCCCAACATCAATGCTGGGGTATCCTAGAACATAAGTGCAAAAGGTAATGTTAAAGTATTTGCTTTCATCATGTGAACTGGTTAAGCAGCCAAAACGATGATCCATCTTGTTCCTACTCCTGAGAACTCTTCTCTTTTCTCTTCTCTTTAATTTTACTTATCTCTTGTTGACCACCTTGGGAGCTCGTGGTGACGGCATTGGTGGTGGCAAGTAGGCCCAGCATGGACTCGTCAGAGACAGCTTGGGTGCATCAATGAGGCGTTCCTATTGTTGACTCCTGCTGCTGTGGCAGAGGCGAGTTTGGGTTCCCAGTGGCATCTGTGTCCAGCGCAGATTCATCGCTGCAGCAGTGGAGGCAAGTTTGGGCCCTGTACCAGACCCTATGGCATCGGCAGTGGCTGCATCGGTGAGGTGGGCCCCAAGCGGACTCATGGCAATGGCAGAGTCAAGTCTGGGACGGTATAGTACCCTGGCGTCGGTGGTGACTGCACTGGCGAGGTCCAGCAAGGACTCAGAGTGGCAAAGGGCATAGGTGGAGGTGAGATGGCGCCAAAGAGAGGCAACTTTCATCCCAGCAACGGTGGTATGGTGAAGGGTCTCGCGCCTGGCCACCAGGCCCATGGCCCATGGTGGAGCATTTAACAACAGGGACTGTAAAGTTGAACAATTTTTCTTTATTTATTTAATCTTTTGCCTTTCTTTTTATGTTTTGGTTTATTTTTCTGTTTCAAGCTGGCGCAGAAAAGTGGTGACACTACTTTTCATTGTATTTTGTAACAGAATGCACATGACAACAAATAAGTCAAACCAAATCAAGTTAAATCACAACCACCAGTCTTCAGCCAAGTCAATTCACACCACAAGATGTCAAGACACACCTGAGGACACTGGACCCTAAAAAGGCTATGGGCTCTGACACCATTCCAGCAATAATACTGAAGATTCTAGAACCAGCTGCACCCAACACAATTACAACATCCAACTATCCATCAAGGTGGAATCTTGCCCAGCTATGCCTTCTGCACAGAAAGCAGGAAAAATACAATCCAGCCAATTACCACCCTATCAGTCTACTCTTCATTATTAGCAATATGATGTAAGGGATTATCAACGGTACTTTCAAACAGAACATGCTCAGAAACAACCTCCTCACTTACGCCCAATTTGGGTTCTACCAAAGCCATTCATGTACTGACATCATTACAATCTTGGTCCAATCATGGACAAAAGAGCTGAACTCCAGAGATGAGGTGAAAGTGACTTTTCTCAATAGCAAGGCTGCATTCATGCTCATGGCATCAACGAGTCCTAGCAAAATTGGAATCAATGGAAATCAGGGGAAAATCCCTCTGCTAGTTGAAGTCATACCTAGCACAAAGGAAGATGGTTGTGGTTGTGGGAGGTGAGTCATCTCTGCTCCAGGACATTTCTGCAGGAGTTTCTCCAGGTAGAGTGTCTATGCCAACCATCTTCAGCTGCTTCATTAATGACCTTCCCTCCATCATTGGGATGTTCACTAATGATTGCACAATGTTCACCACCTTTCGGAACTTCTCAGATACTGAAGATATCTGTGCCCATACACAGATAGACCTGAACAATGTCCAGACTTGGGGGCTGAAGAGAATAGAGTAATATTTCCGCCAGCAAGTGCCAAACCATGACCATCTCCAATTTGAGAGAATCTAACCAGTGTCCCATGAGATTCAATGTCATCACCATTGCTGAATTCTCACTATCAAGATCCCGAGAGTTACCATTGACTAGAAACTGAAGTGGACTAGCTGCATGAATTCTGTGGTTCCAAACAGCAGACTGGAGGCTAGGAATTCTGAAATGAGTACTTCACCTCCTGTCTCCCCAAAGCTAATCCACCATGTTTGAGACACAATTCGAGAGCTTGATGGAATATTCCCCACTTGCCTGGATGGGTACAGCTCCAACAACACTCAAGAAACTTGACGGAATCCAGGAAAAAGCAGCTCATGTGTTTGCCATCCCATCCACCACTTTGCACCCGCTTCACTACCAAAGTATAGTGGCAACAGTATGTACCATCTACAAGACTGATAGCAACAGCTCACCAAGGCTCCTCTCAGAACCATCAAAACCAGCAACCTCTCCTGTCAAAAAGGCAAGGGCAGCAGTTGCAATGGGAACACCAACACCTGCAAGCTTCCCCCCACCCAAGCCACTCACTGTTCTGACTGGGAAATATGTGGCCGTTTCTTCAGTGCTGCTCTGTCAAAATCACTGAACTGCCTCCTCAATAGCATTGTGCGGAAATCTACATCACAAGGTATGTAGCTTCTTGCGGGCAATTAGGGACAGGCAATAAACGATAGTATAACCAATGATGTCCGCATCCTCTCAATGAATTTAAGACAAAAGGACGAGGATGATTGGTATGCCAGCTTCAGCAATCCATTATGATTTATTGAGGCCTGGGAGAGATCCTGCCCCCAAAGGTACGCTAAACAGGGCTTAAAGCAAGTTACTTGGGATTTTCCAATCAGGCTGTAATTTCCCAATGCAATGGAGGTGACAGATAGGTAAGGTGTCAGTGCTGTGTAGGTCGATCTACAAGCCGTGGTGATGTCTTTGACAGTTGATGGCAAGTACCGTTTCATTAAAGTTATTAGATTTAAGGAAATAATACAACAGCAAAGGGGAAGTCAATAAGGCTCTTGATGATACATATTAATGTCAGGTAAAGGGTCAGAAAAAGGCCAAAAATTATAAAAGTTACATGAAAAATAATTCAGGTCAGGTAAATTCTAAATTGAACTATTCGAAAATGACATGTTTGCTGACACCAACGCTTCACTGATGCTCTCCGAATGCGCGTGCTCACTGCCATTACTTATGTTACAGACGCATAATATTTTGCCAATTTTAAAAAAATTTTAAAAATCCTACTATGGTTAGCACCTTATTATTATTACAACATATATTGTTACTTTTTTTTTCATTTTTAGATATTTGTCACTCTTTCTAAAAATACATTTCTGCGTGATACCACTGCTAGTCCACATGATCCTGGTTATCTGCAGGCACAATCCTTAGAAAAAGGTTTAATATCAGTAATGCACCACAGGTCAATATTAGCAAGTGATCTGAATGTGAAGAGGAAGATTTACTAGTTATAAGAGTGATTTTAATACCTACAAATTGCTAATTTGTGCATAGGAAGAATTCTGTCACTGGAAAATTTCCAATACATACCGTAGGTTTTCAGAGCTGAATTCAGACTCCACGAACTTAAGAAACTGTTCCCTCCCTACGAGATCTTTTAAAACTTCATCAATGCAGAAACCCCATCGCTTTACTCTCTGTGCGTATGGTTCTTTGCTGCAATCACAAAGGATGAAAAGTTTAAGACTAATAACAGATACAGCAAGATTCACTGGTCTTTCATACTAAATAATAATATTGGAATATTGATCAATTTTAGTCAATAAATTCTTCTGAAATGTGATGACATCTTATCTTTTCAAATGTTAAAACCATTCTGCACCAGCAATTTACTGCAGGTAACTATGAACGAAGTAGTCAAAGTCTCTTTCTCAATATGGTAGTCATTACTAGATGGTTACAATATACTGTTCCATTTACTTGCCATTTTTATCAACTGGAGAAATGTTATCACTACTAAAACTGTGTGAAATTAGAGGTCATAAACATGGAGCAGGGAGACCCTGTGGTGCAATGAGTGGTATTCCTTATCTCTGAGCCAATGTCTCCAGGTTCAAGTCCTACTCTAGGAGTTGACAACCAAGACAAGTATGTTTTCAGCATGGCCAAATAGGTTGAGTATTAACTTGTAAATCCTTCAAGCCCACACCAATGGCAGGTGACAGGAGCTGGGGAGATTCCTGGTCAGCCAGGTAATGGAAAGAAATTGGAGTCTTTACCATCACTATTCATAGCTTCAGGATTTAGCATGTGACTGAATGCACACATAGCCACAGCAACTCAGACTCTTTGGATGGCTGGTGCAGATCAGATTGAAGTCAACAGCAGAGCGCTTGATTGTTGTTCTAACCAAGGTGGATTTGGGATCTGCCTCCTTGCCCTATCTATGGCAGAGGTCATGTTGCTGTGTATCAGACTTGCCTTTGAGCAGGAAACCTCATAAGAAAAGTAAACGTGTCTCCATTTTGTATTTTTTTCAGTGATATAGTTCAAAAAAGCCATGCATCATTTGCTGTGAATTGAAGTATGCTTCCCAATTTGGATTTATAGTCAAACAGAATGATATAGGCTAAAGTGGGGGGTGGGGGGCGCATTTTCTGAAAGAGGTAACCACTTAGTATCATTCCTCTTGCCTTTTCCCATTACCAAAATATTTATTATATTATTAAATATTTATTCTTCCATTATTTATCCATTTCTCTTTTAAAACCCATTATTGATCTATATTTCTGGTACATCAATTGATGTTACAACATTTCTATGCGTAAAGAGTTATAAGTTAAATAGTTCTTCTTTACTTTCTGGTGATCTTCAATCAATGCCCTCTCATTACTAATCAAAGAACAGTGAAGGTTATCTTTCTTCTTCTCTTATTCATCAAAACATCCCATAGTTTTGAATAATTCTATCATATGTCTTCTTGGTTGTTGTAATGAAAAGAGCCCTAGTTTTTTTTTCTAATCTGTCTTCATAGTTATATCATTCCATCCCTGGCACTTTGGGACCATGAAAGGGAAAGGGTCACTTCCAAGAGGCCAGAGAACCCGTTGAATTAATACAATGAGGTATGATACAATGCAAGAGGTGTGAAATTTGATAATTTATCCTGAGATTCAATTTGTAGCTCACACCAAAAGACTTATGTGTGTTAAATTAAGTGGTGCAAAAAACCCGACAGCATTTTTATGCAACAAGTGTTATGCCACAAGCACGTCTATAATTTTTCTAGATCTAGAGATGTAGCCCATTCATGAAATCAGGCCTATGCATTCGAAGAATCAAAATCTTGGTGCTATCTACATGTTTGTAAACAAATGCTGATACTGTTTAAATATGGTCTTTTATGCTTTCAGCTTTTCCAATGTTGCATTGTTGCTTTGATGGCTGGATATCATTCCTGCTGTTAACTCCCTTGCTTTATCTAATCTGTGGACCAAGTCTGATGTACACTGGTTTACCTGCAATATTGGCTGGAGTCTTTTGTCACCAGAAAGTCCTGAAGTGGGATTTGAAACCAGAGCTTCCTGACTCATAGGAGGGAGAGCTACCCACTGAACCACTCAGCATCTACAGCATTTAATATGTGATTCTCGTCATTGGACATTTCAATGACTTTAATTATAATTGCGTTTCTTTCTTCACACATCAGTTACAGGCAGAATTTAAGTAGGTACAAAATCGACGGTTACTGATGATCAAGTGTGTCCATGCTAACTACTTCTAATATTTGAATGTTCATTTGAAGATCCAGCAACATTTGAGAAATTCTATCCAAGGCTTAGGTTCGTGGATAACAGAATATGGACAGAGAGAAGTATTGAGGCAAACATTCATTTTCCCCTTTGGAGAATCATTGGGCTATCCTTGGCATCAAGCAAACTTTCAGCAAACGATTCTGAGAGTCTGATTTTCCCCAGCTGTAACTGGAGGACTGTATCACTCTTACAAAGAAGTGATGCAGACATAGTGAACCAAAGGATCTCCTTCCGTGATTATATGATTCTAACCACACATTTAAGACAAAATAGAAATGTGGTGGAATTACTTCTCTCAGAGGGGAGTAAATGTGTGGAGTTCTTTACTGCAGAGAGCTGTTAGGGCTAGGTCATTAAGTATATTCAAGGACGAGAGAGATGATTTTTAATCAGTAAGGGAATCAAGGATTATAGCGATAGGCAAGAAAATGGAGTTGAGGATTTTCAGATCAAATTGAATGGCAGATAGGCCAAATAGTCTGCTTCTGCTTTTAAGTCTTATGGTGTAACCAGACTGGCATATATCCCACAGATTCTTTATCACATATTTTATAACTACACTATGGACTTATTACAAACCTTCTCTGTTATCTTACAACCAGTCTGAAATTAAAACAGTAGACGTATAACATTAATATTTTGGAATCTCAATCTCTCAATTTAGCAGAACTATATTTTTATTTAGATACCAGTGAGGCAATTGCAAATCATTTCTGCATTACATAGCCATCACTTAATAATTTAATAAAACAAACCACTTGCAGACACTGGAAATCTGAAATAAAAGCATAAAGTGATGGAGAAACTTAGCAGGTCTGGCAGCATTTATGGAGGGAGAAATACAGTTAGCACTGTGAATCCAAAATGACTCTTCACCAGAATTTTGGGTTCCAGAGATGGTCATGTTGGACTCGAAATTTTAACTCTGCTTTTTTCTCCACTAATGCTGCCAGACCTGCTGAGTTTCTCCAGAACTTTCTGTTTTTATTACCGCTAGTACTATTTTAGATTTTCAACAATTTCGGGTATTGAAAAATCCCTGATATTTTTTGCTACTACTCTTTAACAGTGTGTAATATGCATCATATAAAATTCAATTTCTTAACAAGTAAACCAGAAACTTAAAAATATATTTGTTGTGTTGAAATGGTAAAAATATTATGTGATTTATATAAAATGAGATTTTTTTTCAAATTTGAAATACTATGCACAACATAATTAACTCAATGTTATATAAAGGGTTGATGTGTACACTTTGCAGTTAAACTGGTCAAGCTCTCTTGACAAGTTAATACTAGCGAACTCAAAAATGTGCTCAAACCACTCTGTCAGACATAATTGCAGACATTAGCTACGTAGTTCCAATGGAATACACTATAGAAAAGCATTTAAACACTGCTAGAACTGGAATTAGTTTCTATCTGTGACAATTCACCATTTGTTCTTGATTTCCCCATATGCACACAAACTTAAATAAGTACAAGCCATTACTGTGCGGTATTTTGATAGTTGAGTGGAAGGCTATGACTTACAATCAACATATTGAACAACGAAATACTTCAAAATACAACAAAAAGTCAATATTTAAAAATAAGAGCTCTTAGTTTACTTATTTCCATCAGTTCTGTCATTATATCACCAACAGTTATCAAATTCATGCCCTAAAAACAGCACATCTTAACAAGCAGTGTATCTTTGGAAGGATTTGTTTGAAGGACGGGTGGTCAATGTGATTTGGCCATTAGAATCTTTAAAGTTATATTTCTGTAACTTTTATTGTCGAGGATTGTGGGCTTTGCCAGCTAAACCAGTATATATTGCCATGAAGGACAATGAAAAAAAGTTTTTGCTTACTTTCTATGTTGGCAGACTGAAGAAGCAATAGCTGAATCTCCCTGCTTATCAGCAGCCTTACTCAGTTTACCCAGATAATGTGCAATACAGGAAAGATGAGACATGCTAAATACTGTAGCAGTGAAGAATGCATAGAGGCAGAATGTGATGAGGAGAGAGAGAGAGAGAGACAACAAGGTGTAGTGCTGGTTGAACACAGCTGGCCAAGCAGCACCAGAGGAGCAGGAAGGCCGACGCTCCGGGCCTAGATCCTTCTTCAGAAATGTGATGTTCAGTCAAAGGTATATTGGTAAAACCATTTTAAAAATTTATCAAATTTTAATGGAAAAATGCAGTGACCAATTATGTATCATGCATATTTAATAATATAAAAAGATGCTGCTATTTTAACTGCTGAAGTATTTAAGAATAGAACAGACTTCCTATGTTATAGGCTGCATGACACATTTCTTGGGGAAAGAAACAGAAGAAATATACTTTAACAACTGACCTGGCTTCTAGCTCCCAGAAGGAAATATCATCCGATATCCATGGGTTTGAAGGTTCAGGAGTTATAAGAAATGGATCAAATTCCATATACTGCTCCGCGTACCCTATCAGACTAAAGACAAAGTTGAGAGTTTCTGAGACAAAAACATGCCTGGATATGCTTTAACACCAAGGGCTATATTTTCTGAATAAAGGCCTAAATTTCTGACACATAGTAAAATTCAAATCAAGATGGCAGCTGTACATCAATTATCGCTGTGAAGTCTGAAAGAATAAATATATTAATCATGATGCACCTACAGCAGGAACAAAAACACCTGAATTGCTACTTCTTCATTAAGAATTCTGCATATTTCATATGCCCATCTATAGGGAGAGGCAATGGCGTACTAATAATTTCACTGGATGAGTAACCATCAGCTCAGAGTACTCTCTGAAAATATGGGTTCAAATCCCCTCACAGCAACTGAGGTAATGAATTTAAAAAAAAATCTAAAATCAAAAGTTCATCCAGTCACCATGGTATGATTATTGCAGTCTGTAGTCCTTGCCTGACATGGACTAGTTGTGATTCTTTAATTTATTTCACTCGTGGGACATGGCCATCACTGGCTGGATAGCATTTATTGTCCATCCCTAGCTTCCCTTGAACTGAGGCTTGCTAGGCCATTTTAGAGGGCAGTTGAGTCAACCAGATTGTTGCAGGTCTAGGCCAGACCAGGTGCAGAGGGCAGATTTTTTTCCCTGAAGGACATTGGTGAACCAGATAAAAACCGAAAGAACTGCGGATGCTGTAAATCAGGAACAAAAACAGAAGTTGCTGGAAAAGCGCAGCAGGCCTAGCAGCATCTGTAATGAAAAAAATCAGAGTTAATGTTCTGAGGAAGGGTCACCAGACCCAAAGCATTAACTCTGATTTCTTCTTCACAGACACTGCCAGACCTGCTGAGCTTTTCCAGCAACTTCTGGTTTTGTTGGTGAACCAGATGTTTTTTTTCCTGACAATCAGCAATGGTCTCACAGTCATCAGTAGATTCTTAATTCAAGATTTTCCTTTTAATTTATTGAATTCAAATTCACCATTTGCCATGGCAGGATTTGAAGCAGGATACCCAGAACATTAGCTGAGTTTCTGGATTAAGAGTCTTGCAATAATACCACTAGGCCATTGCCTCCCTTTCAAGACCCAAACCAATGTGGTTGACTCTTAACTGCCTATTGAAATGGCGTTGATAGATACAGTTGTATCAAATCACATGAAAACTTTACAGGAATGAAACTGGAAGCACCACCTGGCATTAACCTAGACACTAAAAAGAAAACAACAAACCCTTCCAAAGCTGCATCCTCTACCACTTAGAATGATAAAGAGAGCAAATGCATTAAATAATCACCAGTTCCCCTCCAAATCACATTCAGCCTGATGTGGAATGATGTCATTGTTTGTTCACTGTCCCTCAGGCAAAATCCTGAAACTTCACCTTTCACAGCACTGTGGGTATAATATATCAACTTGTACTGCAATGGCTTATAAAGGCAACTCACCACTACCTTCTTCAGGGTAATGAATGTTGCCCCAGCGATCAGTGCTGATATCCCACGAATGAATAGATGAAAAGAAGAAAAACTGTGTACTGTGCAAAAACTTGTAAGAATGTAAAAAGAAAGAAGTCAGAATATCCGCTTCCTGACCTGGGATATTAAGATTATGTTTTTCAGTGTTTTGGAGGATATGTTTAATTATTTGATCTCGGATGGATGGGATTTATATCATTGCCATTTACATCCTCAGAACATCCCGAAAGACTGGACAGCCAATGAGGTCTTCTGAAATGCAGTTAGTGTTGGATTGTAGCCAAATACAGTAACTGACTTATACACTGGAAGGTCCTAAAAATACCAATGGAATGAATGACCAGTGAAATAACGCTGTTGTGGATGGATGAATGCTGGCTAGCATATGTGCAGATCTCTATTGGCATTCTTCAACTAATGATTTGGTAATGTTCTGCCTAACCCTTTTAATGTCTCACCCAAGACAGAACATCTGATGAATACTGCTCTGAATACTGCTCTGCAATGTCAGCCTAAATGACAAGCTCATGTACTGGACTGAGGCTTGAATCCAGGAGGAATGACTACTAACTGAGTTATGACTGTTGGTATGGGTGGATGCAAGGTTGATAGAAGCAATTTAGTATGATGAATTGAGAGTGTCATAAAGACAGTACAATGTATTGGAGACAAAGGTATTATTGAAAGAAAGGTAGCAATGATGTAGAGGTAGTAGGAACTGCAGATGCTGGAGAATCCGAGACAACAAGGTGCAGGGCTGGATGAACACAGCAGGCCAAGCAGCATCAAAGGAGCAGAAAGGCTGACGTTTCGGGCCTAGACCCTTCATCAGAAAAGGGGGAGGGGAAGGGGGTTCTGAAATAAATAGGGAGAGAGTGGGAGGCGGATAGAAGAGGGATAGAGGAGAGGATAGGTGGAGAGGAAACAAACAGGTCGAAGAGGCGGGGATGGAGCCAGTAAAG